TTTATAAAAACCTTAAACCCTAAACTTCAAATCCTAAAACATAAACCTTAAACCCTAAAATTTAAACCCTAAACATGTATGAAATTACAAATAAAAATTTAAATAAATTAAACAATATAAAAGGGATATTTATGGTTTAGGATTTATGGTTTAGGATTTAAGAATCATGATTTAAGTATTATGGTTTAGGGCTTAGGGTTTAAGGTTTGATTTATGATTTAGGGTGTATATTTATATTTATATTTATGTTTATATTTATATAAACTGCATACTATAATTTATATCTATATACTATATTTATATACTATTTATATAAATATAGTTTATATTTATATACTATATATATGAACTATAGATTATATATAAACTATATAGTTTATATACTAACTATAGTTTACATATAAACTATAGTTGATATTTACATATGAATTATAGTTTACATATGAACTATATATATAAACTATATAGTTTACATATGACCTATATATATAAACTATATAGTTTACATATGAGTTGATATTTATATACTATATGGTTTACATATGACCTATATATATACTATAGTCTATATTTATATACTATATATTATATATATAAACTATATATACTATATAGTTTAGTTTACATATGAACTATATATAAAACCATATAAACTATATACTATAGTTGATATTTATATACTAAATAAAATAAATTATACTATATTATATATAAACTATATAATATATATAAACTATATATTATATAGTTCATTAGTATATATAAACTATATGGTATATATAACCAACCCTAATCTAGACCCTAACCCACCCGAACACGAACTCAAATTTAAACAGAACCCAAACCTAAACCTAAACCTCAAACTTTAAACCCAAACTTTAAACTCTAAATTATGTATTTTTTCCTACGATTTCATGGATAGTTTTTAAAAAATGATAATGATTAAATATTTTAAATAATAATATTTGTAATTTTTTTTATAATATATGATTAAAGACTTTCAGTTAAAAATAAAATTTTTCATTAGAAGTAAAATTTTCGCTCTCCTCCACTAAGTAGACGTTAAAAAAAATGAATTATAGCCATAATGCAAGAGAAATAAAAATGAGATGGCCACTAATGTAATTTATCCAAGTAGTTTTCCCCCAAAAAATTAGTTCTTTGTTTCCCTCCTCTGTTCTTTATCTTCTCCTTCCAAATTCTGAAATTTAATTTCCCACCAAAACGAAAAAAAGTTCCGCGAAAATTTACTTTTCCATAAATTAAATATCTTTGTTGTTGATTTTTTTTAATTTTCAATTTCTTCTGGCCAGGTCTTTATCTTTCTAGGGTTTTTTATTTAGAGTTCGATGAAGGTGCGAGAAGTTAGGGTTTGGATTAATTGGCTAGAAAATATTGTGATTTTCTTCTGATTCCTGACAATGAGTGCCGCCAACATTACTAACGTCTCTGTTTTGGATAATCCAGCTTCATTCTTGACTCCATTTCAGTTCGAAATTTCATATGAGTGTTTGGCTCCTCTTAAAGACGGTACCCGTTTTTTCTTACCTAATGCCTTTATTAGTTCGATGCATGATTATTCTGAGTTTATTTTATTATTATTATTATTGGTTTCGATTTGTCTTGTGGTCAAGGCTATTGGGTTTGTCCATTTTTTTTAAACTTTCTTCTATTTGTTTTATGAGTAAATGGTGGGAACCAAAGGATTTAGCATGGTCTAAATGAGACTATTTAGGTAATTGGTGGTATAATGTTGGGCTACGAATTGCAATGTCATTGAATTGAGATTTTGGTTAGGCGTAAGTGAAACTTTATTTTCAAGTTTTGTTTGCATGTTTCGATTTTTTATGAGCTTACATAAAAGGCAAATGTAATTATATTTCCTTGTGTTTGAAGGAGAAACTTTTTTGAGTGTAAAGCAATTTTAGATACAGTTAACTTTCCTTAGTGTGATCTCCAAGTTAATGGACTATGCAGTCTGATTCCCAATTGAAAGCTGGAAGACACCATTGAATGTTGATTGGACTTAAGTTTCAGGCTTGGATACGTGTAACATGGATGCTTTTTATTTTTCTGAAGTCTCTTGTTACATTTGGAAGGTTTGAATTTCATATAAATCCACTTTCTGAGTTGGAATGCATCCAAATGGGTGCTTGTGGAAAGTGAAGATTCACAAAAATAACCTTAAGGTGAATCCTTTACTTTTGAGTCTTCTACAATTTATTTATAGTTTGTGGGATCTATTTATTAGCTTCTCCTTCTACAATTCACAATATGTCAGTACCGCAATATAGTTGGCCATATTGCTGGTAAGAGCTAGGGTTGTTTACCTCATTTACATCAACAGCAATATGGTTAACAAGTCTTCGTTGTAAAGGTAATCTAATTTTTTTTATGTTAATGTCATTAATATTTCAATTTATTTATTAATTATTTTAATTTTTCTTTTTAATTTTTAGAGTGTTTAAAAGTCCCTAAAATAATTCGAATTGGAGATTCGAATAGGAGATTCTGTCTTTTTTATTCCCTTCAAAGGTTTATTTAATAAAACTTTCAAATTGTTTATTAATACGTCTTCTCTTTTGTAGGGTGCCTTACTACCTTACAAGATGTTGTTTGGGAGAAGAATCTCTGCAGTTTGGGACCACTACACATTCTCTAAAGCTGATGATGGTTCTGTTTATGCCAGTGTAAGTATTGCAAATTGAAAAGATATAAAGCTGATTCTTATATTGGTACATCTAATCCTAAAAGGCATATTGAAAAATGCCAAGCATATAAGGATTTTCTTTTTGAAAATCCAGATAGTGTAGCTTCTTTTGATCAAAACAAATAATGTGAATTGTTTGCTGAGGCTATTTTGTGTCATGGTTATGCATATAGTATAGTTCTTGAAAAAAAGCATTTACCATTACACTTGATAATGCTTCTGCAAATGATATAATGGTTAAGAGACTGAAAGATGATTTGAATGTCATTTCTCTTATTCATTGCAATGGTAAGTACTTCCATATAAGGTGTGTTGCCCACATTTTTGAACTTGATAGTTCAAAAAGGTTTGAAGGTAATTGATTCTCCTGTTAATAAATTATGTCACATTGTTAAGTTTATTGATTCTTCTGACTCTCTACTTTGTGCCTTTGAATTAGCTGTTAAACCCTGAACCCTAAATCCTTTAGTATAGGGGTAGAATTTTGACCAAATTAAAAGCTTCACTCTTACCAAAAAATGTTGAGATTATTGTTAAGTTTATTCAGTCTTGTTTCTTCTGTTACATGTAACTTTTACTTATTAATTACTTATTATATTTATTATGTTTAATAGTATCTGAAACAAATTTTAATTGATGCTTTTGTTTTTTTGTAGGATGTTTCTGTCCAAAGTAATATATTTTGATTTTGCTTGATATTAATTTTATTTTCATAAACAATGTTGAATGTTTTATTATGTAAGGGTTTGGTAAAGTCGGAAATGTTTGGCACTGTTGGCCATCGTATTCCCTTTGGCTTTACAGTTGATTAAATGTTTGTTTAATGCAAAAATCTGCCTTCTATTGCTGCTTGTTGTTGCTTGCTGTTGCCTGTTGTTGCTTGCTGTTTCCTGTTGCCTGTTGCTTGTTGGTGCTTGTTGTTTGTTGCCTGTTGTTGCTTTGTATTTTATTTTGTTGGTCTGACTTAAATAGATTGTTGAAACAGTCATTTTTTTCAAAATAACTACTCATGTTAAATTATGTTGGTAGCTTTAAAAGTTGTCCGTAATTTAACAATATTGACAACTATTTCGATATAAAAAACTCGATGAAGAAATTTATGGTAGTAAATTTAGGCTTTTAGCCTTATAACATTTTTGTTATAAGATTTGAGAGCTTAATTTTTTTAAATTTTATTGTATTTAACTTGAATTGACTCAAATGCTATTCAAATTCTATATTAAATGTTATTTAAAATATCATTATCAATTAAATTTATATTGTATATTATTTTTCATTTATTTTATAATTATTAGATAATTTTTTGTTCAAAAATTAAACGTTACAGTTTATATTTATATTTTAGAGAATTAATCACATTTAATATTAAAATTCATTTATTATCAAATTAATTATTATTTTATTGTCAAAATTATTTATATTATTAATGTAAACCATTAATATATATTACATAATAAATACTTTTATTATTAATAATATTTTTTCTTTATATAAATTAAACTATATTATTTTTCCTTTGTATTATTAATAATGTTTTATCTAATTTACATTTAAATAATTTTATTAAATAATTTTTATATAATAAGTCTATTTATTAATATAATTATCATAATAAATATTTTATTATAATATTTAAAAAGTAGTCATATTAATATTTTAATTACATCATAAGTTAAAAAATTGATAATTTATAAGATTTCGATGGTAATATATAAGTTAGATAAATATTAGATCAGATCATTAACAAGTTGGATCATTTACATGTTAGGTTAAAAACAAATCAGGTTAAAAACATGTCAGGTTGAAAACAGGTCGGGTAATATCAATTATTTATCAGGTTAATTTTGGGTTCGGGTTCATATCAGTCGGATGCAGTTCAGGTTCGGATATCATATTTTCGGTTTAATTCGAGTTTAGGTCATTCTCAGGTCGGATGTAAGTCGGGTTTGAATCCACAATTTTTAGGTCTAAATCAGGTTCAGGTCAACACCAGTTTCGACTCGAGTCGGTTTCGGATCACTACAGTGCAGGTCAAAAATAATTTTGACTCGAGTCGGTTTCAGTCAGTTTTACAGGTCGAGTCAGCTTTTTACAGCCCTAAACTTTATTGTGTGTTTCTATCCAATTATTGTATCAATGTTATAAAAATCGGATTGATGGTTGAGTAGAATCCAGTCAATTTTCGATTCAATTGGTTAAAATTCCTTTTATTGGTTCAATCTTAAGGTTTATAATCAATTCATCTTATATGTAATTTATTATCATCAATTAATTAGGTATTTAATTTTCAGTTTAACCTATTCAATTAACTGATCCAATCGGATTTAAAAAGCGCTGCCAAATATAAAAATTGAAGGGAAAATATAGACGGGCCTTTCTAAAACAAGCCCACTCAGGTAATTCCCTCTTTGTTTTCTCCCCTCTTTCTTCCCGCCCAGAGCCGAAATGTGACTTGCATATTTTTTCTTCACTACAAAACAAAAATTAATAATAACAATAACCAATAAAATTATTATTAATAATAATAAAGGTTAAAAAGCAAATAAACCAGAGATGCATATGTATTATAGAGTTTAGTGATATTTCAATTGGGGTTGAAATATTTTAGCAATGGCTGTTTCTACTCCATCAAAGAAGGAGAAAAACAAGAAGAAGAGCATTGACAAGGAGAAGAACACGAAGAAGAGTAGTAAGACCAACACCAAGACAACTCGGTCCACTGACTCGGCTTGCTCGGCTGACCAAAAAATCAGTCCGAAGCGTCGCCGTAACAGTTCGCCTGGAGTTCGACTCATCCATAACCGAATCTATGATTCTCATCATGGCAAGACTTGTCACCAGGTATATTTTTTTCGCTTGATCGTTTTTTTCCATCGATATTTTTTGGTCTTTGGAAAAAATTAAGTTTGTTTAAATTTTGCAGTGTAGACAAAAAACAGTGGATTTTGCAGCATCATGCAAGAGAAAGAATAACCAGAAACAATGTACTATCCATTTTTGTCACAAATGCCTCTTGAACAGGTTTTTATGTCCTTTGTTTCCCAAAAAGCTACTTTACTTTTTTCGAAAAATATTACCAGACTTTCTGGATCTTACTCTTAATTAGACAAAATTGCATTGTCAAGATTCTTCTTAAAAACTTTTGACTATAACATGATCAAGATCTAACAAGCAGGTGTTGCTTAATGACTTTGGAATATGATAACTAATTGTTTATTTGTTTGTTTTCCCATCAGATATGGAGAAAAGTCTGAGGAGGTGGCTTTGTTAAATGATTGGAATTGTCCGAAATGTAGAGGAATTTGCAACTGCAGTTTTTGCATGTCAGTCAAATGTTTTGTTTGAAAAATTAATTGCAAATGTTTACTTATTATTAGTTTTTTTAATCAAAATGGTAAAATGTTGAATCTTGTAGGAAGAAGCGAGGTCACCAATCCACTAGAAGACTCGTACATGCAGCAAAGGCGAATGGGTTCGCGTCGGTCTAGGATATGTTGCATCTCAAGGATTCCGAAAGATCAAGATCTCAAGAGACTGTTGATGATGAAGCTGTATCGTCCAAAAAGCAAAAAGCTGCAGATAAGGTTTGATTGGGATTTTATCATCTGTTTTATTGCTTCAAAGGCTTTCCATTTGAGTCCTTGGGTATGTTTAGATAGTATTTGTCTTATTTAAGAATGGTCAATGAAGACGAGTGCAAAATCCGTGTCGATTTTCCTTTTCCGAAAATTAGACAGTTCTACAGTCTACTTATAGATATGGGTTCATTTACTGGTTTATGAACTGTAAGATGAAAGTTCATTACAATTTTCTAACAGGAATCTGGAATAGAAGAAACTGGCAATAGCAGAAAGGAAAGTAGTGATAAAGGGTCAAATAGTTCAATACAGCCAATGACAAAAAGGCTGCAACTAGAAATACCAAGTTGAAAAGACTTAGAAGCAAGAATGGCAGGGAAATCGTATCCGAAGGCAATGATGCTGATTTCTCAACCCGAAAGACTACTCCGAAAAAGTCTAAAATCTCCAAAGAGGCATTGTATGAAGGAGAAGTGACTTCGGACAGGAATACTGCTATCCAGCTAATTGAAATGAAGGTCCCTAAGAAGTGTGATCAAGGAGAAGATGAAAAGCTAAACAATGCAGCTCCCATAGTAAAGAGCAAGCCAGTTAATAAGTCTCCAAATGCTAAGAAGAAAAATGTAGAAGTCAAAAGTGAAGCTTCTGATGATGATATCATACTGCCTCAAGGCACATTACTAAACTGTGTCGTTGGCATTGACTTGCCTGCTGAGGATGTTGGCCATGCCTTGCATTTTCTAGAATTTTGTGAAGCTTTTGGAGAGGTATTGTTACCTGTTTGTTTAGTATGAATCCTAATAGGTTGAAATTTTCGCTCTTTTTAGTTCTGTATTCTCACTTAATAGTTTTGTCCCATTTTAGGTTCTCAATATGAAGAAAGGACAGTCTCAGCTGTTACTTAGAGAGTTATTTACTGGAAAAAGCAAACTCAAACACAAACTACGTTATCCTTTGATTGTGCAGTTTCATATTCAACTGATTTCCATGATGCAAAAGGATTTGGGAAAAGAGTATTCATGTTTAAATAGATAGTCATAAACATTCAGTTTCTTCTTTTACTTGGTATATTGATCACCTGAATTAAATCTCTGTGCAGATATCCTTGCCTTAGTCGGGATTTAAGTGAGAATTCATGGGTTAAAGTGCTTGGAGAATACATCAGTGATTCTCAAACCCCATTAAAGCAGTCACTGTCGGATTGCTTAGATATGAGTGATGATAGATATGAGAAATTAAATTCCTCTAGAAAACTCAGACTCTTAAATTTTCTATGCGATGAAGCTCTTGCAACCTCGTAAGTCATAAAGTTCTTCAATAAATTCTGGTCATGTTTTTCTTTTTAGATTCTTATGTAAAATGTATTGATAAAAGTTCACACTTCTTCCTTTCAGAGAATTCAGAAGCTGGATCGATGAACAAAACTTGAAATTTGTTGAAAAAGAAAAGAAAGCGAAAGAAAAACTTCTTTCTCGAAGAGAGAGGGTAATGAAGTCGATATGACAACTTAGCTCAAGCCAATGCTAGTGTTAATGTTAAAGTTATACCTCTGCATGTCTGATCATAATTCTTTGCGTAGGAGAGAAACATGGAAAAGGAGATGAAGCAGAAGTTGCAGGATGAGATAGCCAAAGCTATTATCATGATAAACGGTGCTCCTCTTTCCATTTCGGAGAATGAAGAGCTTATTTCAAGGATCAAGAAAGAAGTGGCTCAAACTCTTGCAGGTACATTGGAAGTGTCTGAGACAGCAGATGAGGGTATGTTCAGTTACATTGTCCTTAATAGTTGCACAAATGGATCGCTCTTTGCATATATAGGCTGACATGTTTTACCATGCTAGTGATGCCCAAAGAGGAGGAGGATTGTTGATTAGATGCTGTTAGATCGGAGCCAATATTTTGGGATGGCCATGGTCACAAGTTTCTCAAATTCTGGAGATTGAGAGGCCACGTGGGTGAACCCGATGTTCTGCTTCAAGGTTCGTCATATACTTGATTATCCAAAATCTGGGTTTCATCAGCTTGTCAACCGAATTGCCATTTCATTTGTTTCCGCTGATGTGCAGATATCGAGGATGGGGATTCAGTTGCAGCTAAAGAAAGATGGTACACCTACAGCACCGAACAAAAAGCTACAGTCGAGAAATATATTTCATCTTTCAGGTATCAAAAGATGACTTTATCCGCCTAACTCTGTTGAGAAATTTGTTAGGGTATTTCATGGTGTCTGGAACCCTTCCCTGTAGGAAGTCCATAACCCGAGGGGATTAGCTGTTGAACCACCTGGCCAACCCATTTGTAGGAACACGCAACACCATGCCATTCTTGATCTGTTGCTTGGACTCTTCATTTTTCATGAAGTACCCATGTCAGACACTTGGATACGAGTATATGACCTCCAAGGATCTTCCGAATATATGGAAAAACTTTTTTAAAGAAAAAATCTAGCCAGCACTCATACCCCAATCCGAGTAACATAGTTCTTGATTGGTTTCTGCATAATGGATTTCATTAATTTGTCATTTTGTTTTGCAGGATGCCAAGGAAATGAGCAATCTATATGGTCTCATATAATTTCAAGAAAATATTGTAGTTACTGCATAGTGCTATGTATCCTCCTATATACGTCCCGTGTATGTTACTAAAAGAAACTAATTATGATCTTTTCAATGCAATAGTGGGGATGCTATGGTTTATGGTCTTGTACAAGATCATTATGTATTTTACATACTCTCTTTGTCCCACTAAATTTTCTCTCTAGTTAAGTGAGTGGTACGGTTGCTCGGTCATTGTGGTCTTTTCTATTGCCGACGACAAGTTGTGTTAATGTCCAAATATTTCTCAAACTTTGAAGTTAAAGACATTGTTGAGAGAGGCAAACATGTTCTCAGAATATGAATAGTAAACAGACATATATATTATACTAAAATAAATTTTTATATAAAATTACTATTGATCCAAACGATTTTAAAATAATTATAAATCCTTTTTCATTTTCTAAAAACTATTTAATTATAATTTGTGAATTTATGTTTTAGTGATATATTAATTGATAAAACGACTATATAGAGAAAATAAATATAAAAAACAAATGTGCATAATAAGTCTTTGTATTATGTCCAATATCTTTTTAATCAAATCTTTTGAATTATTACAAAATGATTACTACATCAACTATTTAAATTATGTCAAAAAATTTATAACTGAACTCTTTTGATTTTGATAATTATTTTATTACTGTTTAAAAATTTATTAATTATTTTATAATTTTTAAAATTTAATGAAAAAGAAATTATTTTAACATAATTTAAGAAACTTTGTGTATTTTACCCATACAAAAACTACGAGTACAAACTCCAAATGCTTTTTCATCATGGATGACTTTTTCTCCAAATAAAACAAATATAAAAGCAATGGTATTTTAATCGCCACCTTCTCCACTCTCACAAGTAGGGGTGCACAAAAAATTCGAATATCCGATTTTGTGGAAAAAATATTCGAAATCGGATTTGGGAAAAACTGGTTTTTTTTAATCGGATCGGATTTTTTTAAACCGGTTATTTTAACCGGTTTAGAGAAAAAAACATAGACCGTTTTTTTTATCGGATAAAAACCGGTTTTTATCCGAAAAAAAAACCGGTATGGGTTTAAAAAACTAGCCGTTAATATAGCCGTTTGTGACCGTTTTTGACCGTTTTTTCTTTAAAAAATTACCATTTTACCACCCTAAACATGTATAAATAGGTTGGGGATGTATTTGGTTGATTACAACTTTCTCAAAATCTTATTACACAACACTTAAACATCTCTCAAATCTTAGTTTTGTAATTTTTTGTTCATCATGAGTAACACGGCTGAATCTTCCGTCGGGGGAAACCTTGAAGTCGTGAGAGTGATCGAACACACTCGAAACAAAGATATTTGGGATCACTACGATTTATGTGAGATGTCAAATGGCTCGAGGAGGGCGCGTTGTAAACTTTGTCTAAAGTTTCTTGCATCGGAAGGAAACACAACGTTGAAGAACCATTTGACAAAATCATGCAAGGCACTTCGCTCAAGATCGGATCCTAGTCAATCGAATCTTACACCGCAAGGTGGTGTTTTTGTTTACGACAACGAAAAATTACGAGAAGCGTTTACAAAGTTCGTGATTACAAAAGCATTGCCGTTCGACCACTTTGATGATGAAGATTTCACGACAACAATTCAACAACTAATGTAATCACGTTATACTCAAGTAAGTCGTACTACCCTTAGAAGAGATGCTATAAAAATGTGGCGTACGGCGAGGGAAAAAATGATTTTAGGATTCCAAGAACACCGTTATGGTGTGTCGCTTACATGTGACGTTTGGAGTTCCCCTCATAATACCGGAAATTCTTTTTTAGCCGTTACGTCACATTGGTTAGATCAAGATAATTGGCAAATGATGAAAAGAACAATCGCGTTTGAATTATTCGGTGAGCCGCATACCGGTGCTAATTTATTTACACTTTTAAAAAGGGTAATTTGTCTTTATAAATTAGAAAATAAAATTTTTTCTATATCATTTGATAATGCATCGAATAATACAAACGCAGTTCCAAGATTGAAAATATTACTTTCATCGATTTTAGATGGTGCGTTTTTTCATACCCGTTGCGTTGCACACATAATTAATTTATCCGTGCAAGCCGGTTTGGAGGTTATTGAGCCAATTAGATTAGAATTTAAAACAATGATAAAATCGGTTCTTTGTAACAACAACAAAGACTAAATGATTATAAACGATTTGTAAGTCTGTTAATAAAAAAACTTTGGGTCCTAATTTGGATTGTCCAACTCGTTGGAACTCAACTTGGATGATGATGCATACTGCCTTAAGGCAAAGGGAAACATTGCAAACATTTCACGATCGGCTTTTCGAGAGGGGTCATGTCCCAAACATTTATCCGGATTCGAGTTGGGAAACTATAGCCAAAATAACCGATTTGCTTGAGGTTTTTAAAAATGCAACAACTTTTTTATCCGGTGTTTATTACCCTACTAGCCCGTTGGTTCTTAATCAAATATTTTTGTTGGCTACCCGACTAAATGACTTTGAATTTGAAACCGAAGTTTTTCAAGAAATTGGCTTTGCAATGAAGGAAAAACTTTTAAAATATTTTTAAGGAGATTCCCCCCATTTTTTATTTGTGCCGCATCTTTAAACCCAACGTTAAATGTTGGTGGGGTTGAAACACTAATTGAACAAATTGCGTTTGCTTTTAATCTAACCCATGATGAACCCAACTTTGTCCAAAACCAAATAAATTATTTTAACAAATGTTTTCGAGACATGTTTGCAATTTATTTAACTAAATACGGATCAAGTAGTGTAATACACGATCAAATGAGAATGAATGCGGAATCATCTAGTAGACGTCCAAGTAACATAAATTTGAATCTTTTTAACACTCTTGTAAATTCTCAATCCAAACGATCACGTACTACCACCCCAAGTAGCGAGTTGGGAAATTACATGTCATGCGATTTTCTATCAAAAATGACATTTGAAGAGTTTGAAAGTTTGGATATTTTGGCTTGGTGGAAAGAAAAGGAAGCACAATTTCCGATTCTAGCCATCATGGCCCGTGATTTACTAACCGTCCAAGCTTCTACGGTAGCTTCGGAATCTGCTTTTTCTGTTAGTGGCAGGGTTATATCGCAACGGAGATCAAGACTAAGTCCCGAGTCGGTGGAAGTATGCATTTGTTTAAAGGATTATTTGGATGGAGCGGCTCGTAAGCAACATATCACCACCCTAGAAGATGCAATTGATGCCGATTTGGAAGCAAACTTACACATTGAAGAAGTCGAACTTGGAATATCCCCTCCAAACGAAGAAGGCGAAGATGATGAAGAAGAGATGGCAATGTAGTTTATTTTATAACTTTATTTCAATTATCGTAAACTTTGTTTCAATTATCGAACTTGAAGTTTTTAAGTATTTGAATTTATCGAACTTGGAAGTTTTTAAGTATTTGAATTTATCAAACTTGGAAGTATTTAAGTATTTCAATTATGTTGAGTTAATTAAGTATTTCAATTAAATATTTGAATTTATCGAACTTGAGGTTTGATGCTTTCTCTTTGATTCTCTCTTAATTCTAGTTGCTTGATGTTTCTTGTCTTTGATCAATGGCTTCTAAGCTTGCTTAAATACACCTTGAATCACTTCTGAACATTAGTGATAATTAATGAAGATAATATAGCCGTTTAAGTGTGAAAACATTTAATAAAAATGCTTGGAGCGTGGGGGAATCGGTACCCTCTCATAGGGAATCGGTTTCCTCTCATAGGGAATCGGTTCCCTAAGTGTAAAATTTAAATATTTCGACCGTTGAATAGGGGGAATCGGTACCCCTATGGGGGAATCGGTTCCCTCCGAGTATTCTGGAAATCTCGGAGCCAAACCATTCAGTGAGGAATCGGTACCCCCTTGGGGGTAATCGGTTCCCTATGAGTAATCTGGAATATTAAAATCGGTTTTTTAAAAAAACCAGTTTTTTTAAAACCGAAACCGGTTACACCGGTTAGGATATCCGACCCTCCAAATCGGTTAAAAACCGAACCGGTTATTTTATAAACCAATTTTTTTCTATGAAAAAAAATCAGATCGGATAAAAATCGATCCAAATCGAATTAAAATCCGACAAATGTGCACATCTACTCACAAGTACCGAGTTTACATTGCAAGAGCAAGACCCTCCACGGTTTGACCTAGCCAGGAAAAATAACACTAGAAGATATCTATTCACTTATTTATTTATTTTAATCCGCACCTTTGTTTTCTTTTCCATCTTCTCTCAGTGTTCCTTCTATAGTTTTTGGTTTTTCTATAAAAGAGCTGTATATATTTATGCAGGTTAGATTTTCTTTTTTTTTTCAATAAAAAAGCAATCTCGCTCGCGCCACTCTCTAGCTGGTAATGTAGCCTTAGAATTCCAATTTTACATTTTGTTTATTTATTTATTTACTTTATTTTTCTTATGAATTACCATGTGGTTTTTATTTTTTAATACTTACTTTTTCCCCTTTCAAAAATTATTTGTAGCTGAGTTTTTTAAATCTCAGTTTCTACGCTGAACTTGTTGAGTGAAGAAGTTAATTTTCACTTGTTTTTTAATATCCCAGTTTCTATGCTCAACTTGTTGAATGATTTCTTTTTTTTTTTAAAAAAAAATTGTTTGTAATTAGTTTAATGCCTGGATAGCTTCAGTTAGCTAAGAGTTTATAATTTTTCTCTTTTTTAATTGGTATTTGTAGGTATAGTGTGATGTTTAGTATAGCTTAGTTATACTCAGTTTTTATGTTCTTTGAAATAATGTAAAATCCTGAGTTAATTGTTTGCCTTTTCTCTGCCTGATACCTTTGAAATTTGTGTTTTAATCTCCTTTTCTACTGTTTGTTTTGCCAGATTTGGGAGGTTTATCTTGTTATTTTCCCTCCTGTTTTGATTCTTGTTTTCAAATTTCATATTTTTGATCTCCTATTCCCTCCCTTGTAACTTTTATTAATTGAGTTTTGCATTTTTTTAAAAATAAATTTCATTGGCAGATGATTCGAGTTCAAATACAGGTATGATTCTGGCAGAAACCTCTTTTGAACTCTGAAATCAATATGGTCTCTGAAGCAGTTCAAGTGAGTTGTGTGACAAATGGGGGGACTGAGAGCAATCAAGGTTTTAAAAGAAAACATTTGGGATCTGATCAGCAGGCATCAGTTTCTTTTCTTAATGGGTATGATGCCAAAGGGGATATAGGAACATCTGGTCGAGATATGACTGCCAAATTAGATGAAGACACACAGCTTGACAATGCATCTGTAAGCAGCACACTTAAGGAATTTCTTTAATTCAGTCGATATGGTTGCTGTGGATGTCGGTTCTCTGTTCTTGTTATGTTGATTCTTTCTGAAGTGTTGAATTTGCTCTGAGGTTTGTCTGCAGAAAAAGGTGAGACTGCCAAAAGAATTGGCTTTTCAAGATATGTGTGACAATCAAGATTTATTTGATGACGAGGATGAGGATGACAGTGACCGGGAGCCTGTACAAAAGCACATAGAAGTTTTGAAGTGGTTTTGTACAAACTGCAAAATGGTTAACCTTGATGATGTTTCCCACTGTGATGTAAGTTGTTTCATTCTTCTTGATACTAATCCACGCCCTTCTTTTAGTATGCTTCATTATAGATATTTTCATGATTTCTGGAATCTTCAATTCTCTTCACACTTGTTAAATGATTTTGGCTGTAGATGATTTAGCAATTTCATCTATGCAGATTTGCGGGGAACATAAAGAATCTAGCATCCTAAAGCATGGGTTTTATGCGTCTGCTTTTTCAACAGCTGTAGAACTTATTCAGGTTGAATCAGAAGCCAGAGTGAGAGACAAAGGTAACTACATTCTGCTGAGCCTATTCATAATACATTCATATGGTGCCCTTTGAAGAGGTTATTGGACTGCCCTACCTTTTTATGTTTTATTTTCATTTCCTGTCTTTTTTTACAAACTGCTACCCAAAATTTTTTGAACTTGATATGCAATTCCCAATCTATTACCTTTAGTGTCGAGTTCTTGAATCTATTGTCATTTGGTGTTTGTTGGCTTTATGTTTTCATGATGGTCTTACTACTGGTACATTGAAATACATCAATGGTCAATCAGTTGTAATCTTGTGCAGCAGCATTGAAAAAGTTGTGGAGGTTGTGCTATTATAACATATGATATTGTACGGCAAAAATATATTTAATTATATCTGTTACATGGTGAACATTTTTATTTTTTTTAAAGTGTCCTATTCGACTCATAGAAATGGTTCAACACTTTGCATGGCTGTTAACCTTGATTTGCAGGGAAGGGAATATAAGTTAATAACTGCTTTGTTATTGAATGGCACTGCCATGTTATCATTTTATTAGTGATAGTGCCTCCTATTATTTTCTTATAATGTTGCTTTTTAATGCTGTTCAAGTTCTTATTGATGCACATAATGTTGATGGTCAAAATTATGGTTATCAAGTTTAAAAACAGGGTGGGATTGTCGTAGAATGTTGAGCAGCTTTTATTGGAAATTTTTTAAATAAAAATAATAGATTTAAGATTTCGATCAAGTTCTGGAGAATTGGAATGATTGCCAATACTTTATAATTTGCTGTGTTTAGATGATGTAACATTATAGGGTTTCGTTTCAGCCTTAATTATATGCTGGCATCTGAACCCCTCTTCTGAATGGGATCGATAAGTTATTTTCTACATTGTTATTTGCTTATTTATTTAATATTTTTAAGTAGTTTCTTTTAGTGTGAACTCATCACTATGCATTAGTGCTAACTTGCCTCTTGTTATCACACACTTAAATTTCAAGTAGTAGAAATGTTCTAATTTTTTGTAACTTAGGTTGACTTTTACTTCTATATTCTGTTTTCGACCTGAACCCTGAATTTCTTTCTAACATTCAAACCATATTAATTAACATTTGCAAGAATCAAGTTCGTCTTATCACAATTTTACTGCTTCATGATCCCTGTTGTAGATACGTCTTTGTCAAACAAAAATCATGTTTTTGTAGTTGCAAGGTGGTAGGTAGATATGTCCTGATTAAATTGTGAAATTTAATATCTGATATTCCCATCTCTATGTATCCTCTTTTTTAATCAGATTTTGAACCCTATAGTTCACATTTCTATTGAATTGTTCCACTCATCTACAATCTCAAACTTATAATGATATTACCCCTTGATAGGCATGAGATTGTTACTATCCTAATATGTCTATGCTTCTTGATGCAGATTTTTGGTCAGAGGCTTCAGCTTCAAACTGTTCAACGGCAGTTGGGTTTGATGAGAGAATGTTGCTGCACTCAGAGGTGTGCCACTGTATTCTTTATGTGTCCCTAAAATCCTCCATCTGAATGATATTTTTATGGTGATTTGACACCTTTCCATGATATTGGTATTGTAGAAGTTTTGTAAGTTATATGTAATCTATCTCTGTTTGCTTGCAAACTTTTCTGTTGCACTGCTTCTCTTTCTTTCTTTCTTTAAAGTTTTGACTGGCAGTGGATACTTTTCTACCAGCATTGTTGTCAATCTGGGTTTGCTTACTAGTGATCCTTACAATTATTTATTTCCTTTCTTCCTTTTCTTTTTGTATTTACTCTTGGGAATCCCATTGGACGGTTGTAACCGCAATTCATGACAAGAAAGATTCACTTTATTGACAGAACTAAAATAATTAATTTCTTGTTTCTGCAAAATCAACTGTATGATGAGTCTGGTTGCTGTACATGTTTTGTTATGTGGGATTTGTGTCCAACTCTTTTTGCACTCTACTTTGGTGCTTGCTTGGTAGTATAGATTGAAATGAAGTCACATCCACATCCAGAAAGACCAGATCGTCTTCGAGCTATTGCTGCTAGCCTTGCTGCTGCTGGTATTATGGTCTTGTGCCTTTTGTTTTTTTATGAAATTAATATTTTTAGGTGTTTGATATGTCATAAATAAGTGGCAATTTTTAACATGTGCAGTTGTATTTCCTGGAAAGTGCTGCTCAATTCCTGCTAGAGAAATCACTCTGGAGGAGCTTCAAAAGGTACGGACCATTCTTCTGTTTTACTTTCTTCTATTATCTTTATTTTATGGAATAGGGATAACTTGAGAGCATGTGCTTGAGTAGTAGTGAGAGAGTGGGGATGTCAATGTATGTTGTTTATTGAACTCTAGTAGGCTTTATATGTCAATTTCTCAAGTGATGCTAAAATAAAACACAACCTTAATTGATGGGTTATTTTTTACTGGCAGTTATTTTACTCCTGACACATGCTAATGAGCATTCAGCACAGGATGCTACACTTGCAGCTGGTTTATGTCTGATCTTGCTTCAGCAATATTTTCAGCAACTGTTTCCGACCTCCTCTCCGTGTCTAGCCGTTGATGTAGGCATGCATGCAAGCAAGAGGTTCCTTTTGTAATTGTTCGTGTTGTCGGGAACTCGAACATACCGTGTGGTGTGGGGATGGTTTCGTATTATTTTCCTCGAATTAACTTGTTTATATTTCGTTTTCTGTTTGCAGGAAAACAAGTTAAAAAGAGACGGGTGTTCTAGCCGCCGATATGGTGGAGGTGCGGTAGAAAACAACTATTGTACCATGCCCTTAGAGGACATTTTCATCTAAAATGAAAGCAGTGCTGGAAGTTTTGGGAAAGAGATGTTTGGACCGGATTTAAAATTTAATGTTTAATTAGAATTAAAGTTTATTGTCAATTAGGATTAAAAGGATGTTCTTTTGTCAATACATTATAAACTTGATTGATAAAAAATATATATAATAATCGAATTTATTTTTAAAAGGGTATAGTACACTGGATGCTATTGAATTATATCAAAAATGAATTTTTGTCGTGAACTTTTTTTTTTGAACAATTTTTACTTAAGAGAGAAAAAAGTAAATGAATTTTTAAACATTATAAAAAAGATATTAAGCCTATTGGATTGCTACAAAATAACTCATGTAATATTATAAATGATAATAATTTTTAATAAATATAAAAATTATTTTATAATAATATGATAAATTTAATAATTATTTTATAATGATTTAATAAATTTTATTGACCATTTTATCGTTATTTTAGAATCTTATTTTCAATGCAACAAATACAATGTTGTCGCGTAACTTTCATGGTAGTTGCACCATTAAAAGTTTGCCTCAGATTTGCTTTGTTCAAAAGGAAAGTCCATGTACGTACTTTATGCACGTACTTTGATGTCCATCGAAAGTATGACAAGAAACAAAGTCATTTTTAATAGCTCTTATCTTATTCAAATGGTCCGCTTGACGTATCCCAACTAAAATATTTTGAAAATTTAATTTAAAAAATTAAAAATGGTTCTTTATAAAAAAATATAGATTTAATAAAAAATTTAGAAAAAATTTAAACTGAGTATATATATATATTACCCATAACGAAATCCAACTTGAAATTTTAGAATTTTTAAGATTTAGTCTTATATCAAATTATTTAAAATAATGATGACATAGAGTAGAAAAAATCATCACAATATTATACATAAATACAATAGATAGTTTAGGTTAATAATATTTAAACATATTAGAATTGTATAAATATCTAACCAAACAGAATTATCAAGATTATATGATAAACAAATTATGTTATCGATTGGTGTACTGAATTTTATGTATTTATATTTTTAACGTGAATTATTTATTTACTTTTATCTGTAAAATAAATAAAATCAAACGACATTAGATTATGTATGATCTATATTTAATATTGATCTTATTCCGATTATTTTCTAACTTATAAGTGCACAAGAATTACTCTGGCTACCTCATTAGCTTCATTAGACAGAATAAGTTGTCAATACTCCATGGAACTTATTTGTGGTTCTACTTTGATGAATATGAATAGGTTTAGGCTATGACTCTCGAGTAGGTGAACACTGAGAATAATATTAGAATTGTATTTGATATGACAAAATAAATAAATAAAGATAATTTGAATATGTAGAAACCTATTTTTGTACGGGACCTTTTTATAGTAGTGTGTTATATATTATAGTATTATGATATTATATTATATATAGTATATAATATGGTATTATATTATTTATTATATAGTATTTATTATTATATATATATATATATAATATTATACAATATTTACACAATATATGTCATATATATTATATTATATGTATGTTTATATTATATAGTATTATATATATTATATTATATAATATATATTTATATTATATAGTATATTTGTATAGTATATAGTGTTATATTATATGTAACATATAGTTATATTATATTTATAGTGTTATCAATATTATTATTTTATTTTTATTTTTTAGGTCCAAAAGGAGTCCAAAGTCCATCCAATTAGGGTCCAAGATAATGTTGAGGTCCAACAAGGGCCCAATCGAGCATGCAAACCTTACCCAGGAAGCAAACCCAGTGGGAGCCCAGCAAGCAGGCCCATTCTTCCAAGTCCAGCACACTAGGGTTTTATACTTAACCCTCGGCGTCGCACACACCAAAGCCGTTAGACCTGGAAGGAGATCAACGGCCCAGATAGAAGGTAGCTAGGGTTCAAACTGTAACACCCCAATTATGGGGCAAATTAATTTTAAAAGAAAATTGTGAATGAGGATGATAGAGTAGGTAGAAGTGGACAAATTGTTGGGTGAGATGGATTAATTTAATGATAATGACATTGTCTGAAATTCATTGTTCCAGCTTTCACGTTCGTCCTTATCCACCAAAGCTGGAAATCAATTAAAGAAATTATTTACTTTGCCATTTCCTAACAATAATTTTCATACTTATAATAAAAAAATATGGAAGTCATTGTCCAGGGACCTAAAATATCCATAAAATAAAGAGCAGGTAACCTTATGATTCCACTTAATTGGCAGCATTACCGGCTTCTGATTCATCTTCGCCATTCACGTTTGCATCAAGAGTTAATGCTTTCGCTTTGTCTATTTCGATCTCTCTGTAAATCGTTTAGGAAAATCCCTACACTTAAAGCCTAAAATGTTAAAGTTCTTTAGTTCTGTAAACTGGTAAATGTTCGATTGTTTTGGGATGGCGACATACTTTCATGGAAGCTCAGGATTCCATGTTGCCGATGGGATGCAAACACTCTATCTCATGAACACCAACTATGTTCACTGCTCCGATATACACGAAACAACCACCACATCCACTAACATGTTCTTGAACCCCACAAGTTTACCTTAAGCGCCACCGCCTAACAACCATCGGCTTCCATCATATTGGTTGATTCCAATGATGCCCATCGTCCATGGCCTCTTTATGGTTTAGTCCCCGATTTCCACTCTAACTTATGGGGCACTTTAAGTACTCTTGATCATCAGAATTCTACGGAAAGTATCCATTCTCCTCAGGTTGTGTTGGCAGCAACGGATAACACGGGTGGGCTCAACGATGTACAGACGAGGTTTCATCGGCTGGTGATGTCGCCTAGGCAAGGTTTGTCCCAGAGTCTGTCAGGCAATACCGTTGAAACTGACATACATGGGTAACGACAACAACCACAAGTTCCAACGATGTCATTGGCGGATGACGTAAGAAAATTTAGAAACTCGCTGTCGTCAGTTTTGTCATTTCGGATGGGATTTCCGGTGCTCAGAGCGTGGTCTTGGGATCAAAGTACTTAAGAGCTGCGCAGGAGCTTCGATGAAGTGGTTTCATACTTACTTTTGAAATTCACGTGGGTGGTAGATTATGAAAACGAAGATGGGCAAACCATAACTTCAGCCATCTATTTTTGGTAAAGTTCTAAATTTGTTCTCTAGTTATGATTTAGTCTTGATAAAGCTATGATAATTTAAGTTAATTCAATTTAGTCCCTAATTTTAGTAATTAGATATTATATTGGCTCCACAAGTTTTTAGATTTACCAATTGGGTCATATTTTTTTTATTATTATTTTGATTCTAATAAATTATTTTTATGGTGAGGAAATTATTTGAAATCGAGTTCATATATTTGATGGTCCGGGTAAGTGAGAGAAAAATTGAAAGCTAGAAATCAAATATAATGAGTTCAATTTCGAGAGAAAAATGAGGTTCTGGCAGCGTATTTGAATATACCTGAAAAAAACATATTTTGGATTCCCTTCAACATATTGGGTCCGAATCCGAAATTCGTTTTGCCAAATTCGCACCCGGTAAGCCGTTTTTCCATATTTTACATTCAGATTCAAGTTAGCTTCTCAGTTAAGTTCAGATTTTGACGTACATTTAGTTGCTTTGTATCCGAGGGATTATTGGAAGTTGATTTCGAGATCGAGGGCGTTCGAATAGATTTAAATGATTGATCAGTATGGCATGAAAATTGAGGTAATACTTTACTACCTCTTTATGCTTTATAGAACAAGTCGGTATTGGTAAATGCGTGAATGGAAATGTTTGGTCCCATATGTGTAATTAATGAAGATCTATACTAGATACGAATACGGTAGAAAGTAGATAACTGAATATGGCTCAGATGACTATTATAAGAAATTAGAGGACAGTTGGAACTAAATTACAAGTTCTGGAATTAAGTGATAAAAGAATCAACCATGGATTGTATGTTATAATTTATCTCATTAAAGGTAGATGATAAATTATGAGAATATTTCTATTAGGTAAAATTACTAAATTACCCTTATGTTGGAAAATGACAAGAATTGTCTCTGGAAGTGAATTAATAAATCTGAAATGAATTATTGATATGCTAAAACTATTGATGCGCATAAGAAATGTTAGTTTTACTTGGAAATTATGGATAACTTGTTTTTAACCCCAAGAAGGTTTATGCTAGATACTAGAAGTCTTTTAAGGAATCATTTCAAGATCAAAGAATGTTCGAGGAAGCAATTAATCATAGGATCTCTATATTATATATTTTCGCTAAGAGCTAATATCGAAATTATCTGGTTAAGAAATTACGAAAATGCCCTTGAGAGATAAAATAGTCTGAATTGACCCTGAATGAGAAAGTACTTTGAGGATTTGTACTTAACTCGATTAAGTACGAATTTAATTGTTAAGATCCTGTCTTTGTACAGAAAAATTCATGATATTACGTTTGTAAAATCTGAGAAGATACTTGACCCGAAAATATTCGAATAATGAGTAAATACTTGAAGAGTAATTTATCGGGGGTATTCTGCTGTCAGAATTATTCGAAAGAACTAAAGTAAATGATAAGATTGAATTAAATAATAAGACCGGATGGAAGGAAAAGATTGAAATACCGTAGATCTGTAAAATGACCAAAATACCCCTATAATGAAAATGACCCAAGAATATCACCAAGCTCAGGAATGATTGGATATCCTCGAGCTCTGAAATGAATGGAATAAAACTGAATA